TTGTTGACTGCTTGTTTTGTCACGAGCACAACATCTCCATCATCCAAAGTTTTCCCCGGGGGAAATAAGGCAAAACAAGACAACTTGGCCACACAGTAGGGTGCTGAAGTTGGCTGAGAAGATCCAAGGAAGATCCAAAAGGCACTCCCCTCCTACTGTGCGATGTTGGATGTTAAACGGTGAAGTCATTGAGGGTGGAAACCTCCATTCAGGCCACAAATCCAAGGAACAGGCATGGGCTTGTCAGCTCCGAAGTATGTTAACATGGAGAGAGTTTTTGGAAGAAAAGGAACTGAATTCCACGTTTACGTGTAGATTAGAGATGTACATTCCTCAATGTGCTTCCTATAATTATGTTTGTGCCAAGATGTTAATGTGCAGGGAGGCTGGTCTGTATATTAATTAGATGAGATTATACCTCTAATTAAGGGATGCGGTGGCTCAGTGGATAAGACGCTGAGCTTGCCGGTCGAAAGGTCGGCAGTTCAGCGGTTCGAATCCCTAGTGCCACATAACAGGGTGAGCTCCCGTTACTTGTCCCAGCTTCTGCCAACCTAGCAGTTCGAAAGCACGTAAAAAATGCAAGTAGAAAAAATAGGGACAAACTTTGGTGGGAAGGTAACAGCGTTCCGTGCGCCTTTGGCGTTTAGTCATGCCAGCCACATGACCACAGAGACATCTTCGGACAGCGCTGGCTCTTCTGCTTTGAAACAGAGATGAGCACCACCCCCTAGAGTCGGGAATGACTAGCACATATGTGCGAGGGGAATCTTTATCTTTATACCTCTAGTTAAAGAAGCAGAAGAGATGAATAAGTAAGATGAGTAAGAACTGAATAATATTGAAGAATTTCTTCTTCCTCTTCTTCTTCTTCCTTCGTCTCCTTCGCCTCCTCTTCTTCTTCTTTTCTCCTCCTCCTCCTCCTCCTTCCCTTTCCTCTTCTTCTTCTCCTCCTCCTCCTTTACTCAAGGTGTCCATTTCAACATGTTGATGGCCTACATCTCGCAGATGGCCTTGAGATCCATTTCCAATGTCTATCAAAGCACACACTGGCCAAAAGTGGATATTAGGAATGTCCAAAAAAAACCTCAATGAAATTATCTAATTTTTATTTTATTCTAATTCTTATGTTTTAACCACTTTACAGCAATTTCTTAGTCTCTTTTCCAATTCTCCTAATATTATAATTTTATTTGATATTGTTCAACCAATTTCTCTTATATCTTCTCCTTTCTATCTAGTCTATTGCATTATTAACATGATTGAGGAAGAGTCAGATAATATGGTCTGTGATGACATTGTAACAATAAAATCACCAAAGCTCTCCATTAAATATAAATTCCAGAGAAGAATAAGTGTAAAATCCTTTTAATACATTGTAATTTCTGTGGCAATCACTAATACTACCTTTCTGTAAGTATTCCTTAAAATGTCTCTAATAAAGTCAAGTAATCTCAGAGTCTGGAAAATGTATTTTTCCCCTTCTATTTGTCCTGTTATAAATCAAGCACCATACTACTCTGTTTCAAATAAACTGGTACACACTGGAAATTCTTCTTACTGAAAACTATCTCACATATGCTTGCAAAAATATTTTTCCAATGTTTTACAGAAAGGAATCCTCTGTTAATAACAGTAGATTTGCTTGATCTTTCCTTTTCCTTTTTTTCCCCAACAAGACGATTCCTTTTAAAGAATTAGTTCGTTCTTAAAGGTGGAAAAGACATTGGGTTGTAAATACTGAAGTTTTACAGTAATAAATATGATGGCTATGTACAGATGTTAAATTACGCCAGTTAATGACTAAACCGGTATAAAAGGATTCAGAGGGAGGGAGGGAGGGAGGGAGGAAGGAAGGAAGGAAGGAGAAAGAGAGAGAGAGACAGAAAGGAAGGAAGGAAGGAAGGAAGGAAGGAAGGAAGGAAGGAAGAAAGAAAGAAATAGAGAAGGAAAAAAGGAAGGAAAGAGAAGGAAGGAAGGAGAGAGAGAAAGAGAAAGAAAGAGAGAGACGGAAAGGGAGGGAAAGGGAAGGAAGGAGGGAAGGAAGGAGAAAGAGTGGGAGAGAAAGAAAGATAGGGAGAAAGAAGGGAGGGAAAGAGAAGGAAGGAAGGAAGGAAGGAAGGAAGGAAGGAAGGAAGGAAGGAAGGAAGGAAGGAAGGAAGGAAAACAAACAAAGGGAAACAGAGAATGAAAAAAGGGAGGGCAAGAGAAGGAAGGAAGGAGAAAGAAAGAAAGAAAAATAGAGAGAAGGAAAGAGAGGGAAAGAGAAGGAAGGAAGGAGAAAAGAAAGAAAGAAGAAAGAAACAAAGAAAGAAAGAAAGAGAGAGAGAGAGAAGGAAAGAGGGAAAGAAAGGAGAAGAAGAGAGAGAGAAGTGAAAGAAGAAAGAGAGAGAGAAGGAAAGGGAGGGAAAGAAAAGGAACGAAGGAAAGGAAAAGAAAGAAAAAAAAGTAAAAGAAAGAAAGAGAAAGAAAGAAAGAAAGAAAGAAAAAGAAAAGAAAGAAAGAAAGAAATTGGCAATTGTCGTCAAAGCTTACAAAATTATGAGAATTGTAATGCTGATATCTTGCCGAGCTGTTTTCAGAATGACTATCCCAAGATTTGAAATCTGCTATATACCGATACTGTATTACATGTTATCCTAATTCGTACACAAAATACCATATCCAATACTTGGATTGAGAGGCTCCTTTTGAGGCCTTGCTGGCCCAGGACGAAAGGCCCATCCTTCTCTGAATCTCACACATCCTTCTGTAGCATTCAGCACCTCACTCTGGCACCCCTTCTCTCCCCTCAGGCAGACCCAGGCTGCGCGTACGTGCAATCTTTACACAGTGTTTAATTGGAAAAAGAGATTCACCACTTTCTGGTCTTAAAAATCCTGGCACTTCAAACATTGTTTCCAAGTGTTCACGAAGGGCCTTTTCTCTGGGCAATTAAGAGCCTTAAAACACATGGAGAAGGAGGAGATTCATGGAGACATACGGAAGCTTCTGGGAGTGGGGGAGGGGGTTGCTCCTTTTGATTGAAGCAAGGTGAGGCATTTTCTGAGGAGACTGGACCAGGCGGAAGATGGGAGGCCGATCAACCTTCTGCTCCGTGGAAAACCATTGGCTACCATGGACATGGAAAACCAGATTCCAGCCCTAGCATGTGTGATCAGAAGCAGGCCACTTTCTATGCCCTTCCCCTGCCCTTTGGGCCTCTGTAGGCAGTTAGCACCCACCCCTCTCCTAGGAAAATAAGATATTTGAGGAGATATTAAAAGGGCAGAATATTTCCTCTAAAAGGGAGGCGGAATGTATGTTCACATACTCTTCTTAAATCTCTTTGATTGTGTTTTTTTTCCCACTTCAACCCATTTTTTCAAGACAATACGATCTCGTTGCAAAAGGGCCCCATAAGTCACACAGAAGCAGAAAATTGAATCCAGAAGAAAAGACAATGGGGGCCGCACCCCATAAGAAGCTCGGCGCATGAACTCAAGGTTTCTCTCACTAAAAGAAAAATAATTTCCCTCCCGGTGGAAAGTTAGGTGATTCGATGATTGATCCTAAGCTGCCTTCCTCCTAATTCATGCGGCTAATTTTGTATCCACCGAGAAAGGGAGGATATTTTATCTCTGTTTCTGACCTTGTGTTGACGGTAGAAAATACAGGAAGAGCAACTGAAGCCTCATGATTCAGTGAAGGACTGTTTTTTTAGATTTTAAAAAAGCTTACAGCTGCTTTTCAGATGTTTCCCATGAACTTGTGAAACCAGGCAGATGTTAGAACTGCAGATGAGCAAGAGTTCCCTGTTTTCAGAACATTTGAGACTTCAGGCTGAGTTCAAACTAGGCCTTAATGAAATGCAAAAGACTGATCTACTGCGGGCCACACAAGCTTGTCTTTTCAAATGAGTCTACAATTTGATTCGGACCGGTTCGGACCAGTTCGGACCGGTTCGGACCAGTTCGGATGAGTTCGGACCGGTTTAGACTGGTTCGGACTGCTTCAGATCAGTTCAGACCGGTTCGGACCGGTCTGAACTGTCAATGTATTCACTAAGTCTGCATTACTATTAATCTTCTCATCATTCCTATCACCCATCTCCTCCCACTTATGACTACATGACTGTAACTTGTTGCTGTATCCTACAATTTATATTTTCCCTAATATGATTTGATTGCTATTTGTACCCTACGACTATCATTAAGTGTTGCACCTTATGATTCTTGATGAATGTATTTTATTCTCCTTATGTACACTGAGAGCATAGGCACCAAAGACAAATTCCTTGTGTCTCCTATCACACTTGGCCAATAAAGAATTCTAATCTAATTCTGATCTAATTACTATGTAAATGAATTGACCCAAACATTACGCTATTCATTAAGCACATATTGTATGTAAAGAGAAAGCAAATAAAATATATATTTTTTTTTAAAAAGGGGGAGGAACAGGAGGAAAAGGAGGAGAAGGAGGAACACAGGGAGCTGAAGAAGGAATTCAATTTATTTGTAGCCTATGACCAGTGGGACTCAAATAATTTAACAACGGTTCTCTGCCCTAATGATTTCTTCCAACAAACAGTTTGCCAAACTGTTCAGAAAGTTAACCACCGGTTCTCCCGAACTAGTGCGAACTGGCTGAATCCCATCACTGCCTATGACTATCATTAAGTGTTGTACCTTATGATTCTGGACGAATGTATCTTTTCTTTTTATGTACACTGAGAGCATAGGTACCAAAGACAAATTCCTTGTGTGTCCAATCACACTTGGCCAATAAAGAATTCTAAGCGAATTCTAATCTAATTACTATGTAAATGAATTGCCCCAGACAGTTCGCTGTTCATTAAGCACATATTGTATGTAAAGAGAAAACAAATAAAATACATATATATTTAAAAAGAAAAGGGAGGAACAGGAGGAAGAGGAGGAGAAGGAGGAACACAGGAAGCTGAAGAAGGAATTCAAGAGTGAGAATGATAAGATTGTAGCTGTTGCCAAAAGAATTACCTCAGTTTACAGCAAGAGTTGTCTGAGAGGAAGGCAAGTATTCCAGGAGTCTGGAAACCGTTAGATTGATAAAACAGAGGCGAATCCGAGATCCAATTTGCCTCACAAGGTATTAGACAAACTCCATCTGCACTCAAAGGACGGAGTGAAATGAAGCCTCGACGGCAACACAAGCCACTAAGTGAAGAACAGTTCTGATAAGCATCAGGATTTGCCTCACTTCTTGTTCTAGTTAACAACAACAACCCAATTACTTGGGACCAACGGCGTCACATTCGACGTTACAGATGGCCTTCGTTTGAGATACGTTGCAAACAGTCCTAATGAAAAGAACCAAACAAAGATACCAAGGAAGGTTAAAACCATTGTTTTTTCTTCTTTTTTTTTAAATCACGCTAAAGGAACCAAGCACACAGACACACCAGTGGTGAGTTGCTACCAGTTCACTCCGGATCAGGCAAACTAGGTAGCGGCAGCGGCAGGAGGCTCCGCCCACCTGCCCGTACTTCTCTGCGCATGCAGAGTGTCACCCACAAGCACCCACGAGCGAACCGGTAGCGAATGAAATTGAAACCCACTACTGAGACACACACTCTACATACTTTTGTCAAATGGGGGCAGATATATTAAGAAAAGAAGGGGAAACTGCAAATCCATTTGGTAAAAAATAATTAAATGACAGAACGATTTCACTCAGAATCATATCTCGATCTGAACATCGAAAAAGAAAGAAATTCACACCGTATATTACGACATTGTGCCCTCAACGTTCAAAATTGCATTTCCGCTTCCCTTGCTTACCTATTTTGCTTACCATAATACTTTTATATCTCTCTCCACCAGCTCCTCCATTTTTAGGCCAAATAAAGGACAACTGAGGAAAATGACTGGAATGCATGAAATATTTTGCTGCAAACCTTCAAGCAGGAAACCATCTTATTTTAAGAATTGTGGACAGCTTGAAACACAGACGTTTTTCGAACGCCTCTGTTTTCAATTGAGGATACAGTTAGTCCTCAACTTAGGACCACAATTGAGCCCAAAATTTCTGTTGCTAAGTGAGACATTCGTTAAGCGAGGTTTGCCCCCATTTTATGACCTTGTTTGCCACAGCTGTTAAACGAATCACTGCCATTGTTAACTTATTACTAACATGGTCAGTTAGCTTCCCCATTGACCTTGCTTGTCAGAAGGTCGCAAAACGGGATGATGGGATCCATGGGAAGTCTGCAACCGTCATAAGTACGAATCATTTGCCAAGCGTCTGAATTTTTGAATATGTGACCACAGGGATGCTGCAATGGTCATAAGTGTGAAAAACTGTCCTAAATTGCTTTTTTCAGTACCGCGGTAACTTTGGACAATCACTAAATGAATGGTTATAAGTCAAGGACTACTAGATTCTGGTGAATATTTTTTTTTAACGTGCAGCTGAAGTTGAAGTCAAAGAAGGAACAGCAGAAAGAATTGTATTTGCACAACATTGGAAAAGCAAGAAAATGCCTACGGAAGAAGATATTATTTAAAAAAATATTGGACTGTGCAGAAATGGACAGATTAACACTGAAGATAAAAGAAAAAGAAGACACAGAATATTTTCAAACTTGGAATTGTTTTATCCATGGCTGAATAAAAGGGGTAGAAATTAGGAAGTTAATAAGTATTAGAACTGCAGAAAAAACAATGGCTACCAACCTCCCTTCCATTGAGGACCTGTATACTGCACGAGACAAAAAGAGGGCTGTAAAAATATTTACAGACCCCTCGCATCCTGGACATAAATTGTTTCAACTCCTACCCCCAAAACAACACTGTAGAGCACTGCACACCAGAACAACTAGACACAAGAACAGTTTTTTCCCCGAACACCATCACTCTGCTAAACAAATAATTCCCTCAACACTGTCAAACTCTTTACTAAGTCTGCATTACTATTAATCTTCTCATCTTCTCATCGTTCCCATCACCCATCTCCTCCCACTTATGACTGTTGCTGTATCCTTACAATTTGTATTGATTGTTTCCAAGTATGATTTGATTGCTTATTTGTACCCTATGACCAGTGGTCAATTAATTTAACAACTGGTTCTCTACCCTAATGATTTCTTCCAACAACCAGTTTGCCAAACTGTTCAGAAAGTTAACAACCGGTTCTCCCGAACTAGTGCGAACTGGCTGAATCCCATCACTGCCTATGACTATCATTAAGTGTTGTACCTTATGATTCTGGACGAATGTATCTTTTCTTTTTATGTACACTGAGAGCATAGGTACCAAAGACAAATTCCTTGTGTGTCCAATCACACTTGGCCAATAAAGAATTCTAAGCGAATTCTAATCTAATTACTATGTAAATGAATTGCCCCAGACAGTTTGCTGTTCATTAAGCACATATTGTATGTAAAGAGAAAACAAATAAAATACATATATATTTTTTAAAAAAAGGAAGGAACAGGAGGAAGAGGAGGAGAAGGAGGAACACAGGGATCTGAAGAAGGAATTCAAGAGTGAGAATGATAAGATTGTAGCTGTTGCCAAAAGAATTACCTCAGTTTACAGCAAGAATTGTCTGAGAGGAAGGCAAGTATTCCAGGAGTCTGGAAACCGTTAGACTGATAAAACGGAGGCAAATCCGAGATCCGATTTGTCTCGCAAGGTATTAGACAAACTCCATCTGCACTCAAAGGACGGAGTGAAATGAAGCCTCGACGGCAACACAAGCCACTAAGTGAAGAACAGTTCTGATAAGCATCAGGATTTACCTCACTTCTTGTTCTAGTTAACAACAACAACCCAATTACTTGGGACCAACGGCGTCACATTCGACGTTACAGATGGCCTTCGTTTGAGATACGTTGCAAACAGTCCTAATGAAAAGAACCAAACAAAGATACCAAGAAGGTTAAAAATGTAGGCTAAAGGAACCAAGCACCCAGAGACACACATTACACACTTTTGTCAAATGGAGGCAGAAAAGGGGGGAAAACTGCAAATCCGTTTGGCAAAAAACAACGAACAGAATGATTTCACTCAAAAACCTTATCGAGATCTGAAAATCGAAAAAGAAAGAGATTCACGCCATATATTACAACATTGTGCCCTCAACCTTCAAAATTGCATTGCCATTTCCCTTGCTTACCTATTTTGCTTACCATAATACTTTTATATCTCTCTCCACCAGCTCCCCCATTTTTAGGCCAAATAAAGGAAAACTGAGACAAATGACTGGAGCGCATGAAATATTTTGCTGCAAACCTTCAAGCAGGAAACCATCTTATTTAAAGAATTGTGGACATGTTTCTAGCTTGAAACACTGACGTTCTTCGAACGCCTGTTTTCAATTGAGAATACAAGTAGTCCTCAATTTAGGACCACAATCGAGCCCAAAATTTCTGTTGCTAAGTGAGACATTTGTTAAGCGAGGTTTGCCCCCATTTTATGACCTTGTTTGCCACCGTTGTTAAACGAGTCACTGCCGTTGTTAACTTAGTAACATGGTCAGTGAATCCAGCTTCCCCATTGACCTTGCTTGTCAGAAGGTCGCAAAATGGGATGACGGGATCCCCGGGAACTCTGCAACTGTCATAAGTACGAGTCAGTTGCCAAGCGTCTGAATTTTTGAATATGTGACCACAGGGATGCTGCAATGGTCATAAGTGTGAAAAATGGTCATAAATGAGCTGCGGTGGCACAGTGGTTAGAGTGCAATACTGCAGGCTACTTCTGCTGATCGCCAGCTGCCAGCAGTTTGGCAGATCAAATCTCACCAGGCTCCAGGTTGACTCAGCCTTCCATCCTTCCAAGGTCAGTAAAATGAGGACCCAGATTGTTGGGGGCAATATGGTGACTCTGTAAACCGCTTAGAGAGGGCTGTAAAGCACTGTAAAGCGGTATATAAGTCTAAGTGCTATTGCTATTGCTAAATCACTTTTCGTCAGCACTGTTGGAACTTCAAACAGTCACTAAATAAATCATTGTAAATTGAGGATGATCTGTACTTCCAAAATGTTTAGAACAGCCCATATCACATTTAAAGCAAGGGTCTTCCAGGCAAAATGAGACTTTTAGGAAGTTTTAGGAAGTTACACACTTGAAATAATTTGAAACCAAACATTCGGCACATTCCTAGATAGAAAAAAAAGGATGATGACATCAAATCAAGGGAATTATAGCAATTATTCTGAAGGAATGAAACCTCCATGAATCAAGTTTCTGGCAACTGCTCCTTATTTTGCACCAATCTAAAATTGACTATTATGGACAAAACTGCCACAGGGGAAAAAATAATGCTCTTTTTCGGAAAGCTTTCCAAAGCAAATGATAACAGAGCCAAATAAACAATATGAAACTGCAGAACAGAAAGAAAAAGGAAAGAAAATGGCATTCAGAAAAAAATGTATAATTGCAATGGTCTTCATAGGTTGCTATCCTTTATTTCAATGGACCGTATCAAGAATAGCTTCCCAGTGGGGTGGACTAAGAAGGAATGGTTGGAAAATCAGTACTTAACGGATATTTCAAGAACTGCCAAATGGAGTGATTTGTTTTAGTGTTAAATCAATCAGAGGGACTAAGATAATGGAAGAAAGGAGAGGAGAAGAGAGGGGGGAGGGGAGGGGGGGAGGAGGGGAGCGGAGGAGAGGAGAGGAGAGCAGAGGAGAAGAGAAGAGAAGAGAAGAGAAGAGAAGAGAAGAGAAGAGGAAAAACATAGAATGAGAGAGGAGAGGAGAGGAGAGGAGAGGAGAGGAGAGGAGAGGACAAGACAGGACAGGACAGGACAGGACAGGACAGGATAGATCTGATGGTGCTTATACTGGAAGTGGAGTAAAAAGTAAGATTGTCTGGCATTCATTGTTTTTCCTGCACAACAGATGATCTTTGAGATCCCTTCCAATTCACTTACATTCTATGAGTATCATTTGGGCGCATTTGGTAAAGCATTTTTTACATCTTGGTCAAGGACCACAATAGTTCCTTAACTGGATGCAGCTAAGAAAGGAGTGAGCCACAAATCGCTCTCCTGTCTAGAAAGGCAAACAGGAGAAGCAGTTTGGTCTACTG